GCGGCGTCGCGCGCATGAGCGACCCGAAGATGATCGCGGGCATCAAGGCCGCCGTGACGATCCCCGTCATGGCCAAGGCGCGCATCGGCCACCACGTCGAGGCCCAGATCCTCGAGGCTTCGGAGATCGACTACATCGACGAGTCCGAGGTGCTCACGATGGCCGACGAGGACAACCACATCAACAAGAACAAGTTCACGGTGCCCTTCGTCTGCGGCTGCCGGAATTTGGGCGAGGCGCTCCGCCGCATCACCGAGGGCGCGTCCATGCTCCGGACCAAGGGCGAGGCCGGCACGGGCAACATCGTCGAGGCCGTGCGCCACGCGCGGACGGTGCAGCGCGAGCTCAAGATGCTCCAGGGCATGGACGAGGACGAGCTCTTCGTCGTCGCGAAGAACATGCAGGCGCCCTACCACCTCGTCGCCGAGTGCGCGAAGACGGGCAAGCTCCCCGTCGTCAACTTCGCCGCCGGCGGCGTCGCGACACCTGCGGACGCGGCGCTCATGATGCAGCTCGGCATGGACGGCGTCTTCGTCGGCAGCGGCATCTTCAAGTCCGAGGACCCCATGAAGCGCGCCAAGGCCATCGTCCGCGCCGTCGCGCACTACAACGACGCCAAGGTGCTCCTCGAGGTGTCCACGGACCTCGGCAAGCCCATGGTCGGCATCACCGACATCAAGGGCGACGCCGTCAACTTCCGCGACCGCGAGGGCGGCAACCCGTCCCAGGACCACATCCCCAAGAAGCGCAAGCTCGAGGGCAAAACGGAGACCCAGCTCTACGGCTCGTCCTGGAACCACTAGGCGCGCGCCGCGCGCGCGCCCCGCCGGATCTTCGAGCCGGCACCACCACCTCGGCCCGCACCTCCCCAAAAGCCCCCCGCACCCCCTCCTCGGCCCGCGAGACGTGCCACCGCCTGTAACGACGAGTGCCACGTTGTTCTTTAGTGCGGCACTTCGTGCGGCGCGCCGCGGCCGGTCGCCGCGCGATTTCACAATTCTGCGCCAACGCAAACTTTCTGCGGGCAGCCCCGCGACGATGGCGCGGATCCTCGTCGCCGCCTGCCTCGCGGCCATGGCAAGCGCGCAGATCGCCATCACGACGCCGGCGATCCCGACGAACTCGTCGCGGTCCTGCCGGTCCTGCGTCGCCGCCGCCGACCGCGCCGTGGAGATCCTCGAGACCCTGCGCCGCCGGGTGAAGCTGAACCGCGGCGAGCCCGAGGTGCAGCACGCGCTGGACTGGCTCTGCGAGGACGTGCCCGAGCAGATGGCCCACGACGGCCTCGCCGCCGTCGACGCGCACCTCGCGGGCCGGGGCCTGAGCCGCGACGACTGCCACGGCGCCGTCGAACGCGTCGACGACGCGCTCGAGCGCGCGCTGCTGGCCGAGGGCGCGCGCGACGACCTGGGCCTCGCGACGACGTCCATGCTCCAGGTGCGCCACGGCGCCTGCCACGGCCGGCGCGCGCCCTGCGGCGACGTCTTCGAGGTCAACTGCCCCGCGTGCCACCTCGACGGCGCCGTCGGGCCGCCGGTCGCTGCCCGCGCGCCACACCTGCGACGGCGACGGCCTGTCGCCGGCGCTCGAGTGGGCCGGCGCGCCGCCGGGCACGCAGTCCTTCGCCCTGTCGCTGCGGCAGATCCGGGGGCCCGACGACGACACGCCGCTGCTGCCGGAAGAAGAAGAAGAAGACGAGGACGCGGACGGCGGGGGCGGCCTGTCCATGCGCCACGTGCGCTTCGACCACCTCTGGTTCGGCTGGGACGTGCCCGGCGCCGCGCGGGGCTGGGCCGCCGCGAAGCCGCTGCCGGCGGCGGCGCCGCACGCGCCGACGCCGTCGTTCTGGGACCGCGACGAGGCCGTGCAGCAGATCACGACGCGCGTCGAGACTTACTCGCCGCCCTGCATCCCCTCGGGCACCAACGGCGCGTTCCGCTTCGAAGTCCTGGCCCTGGGCGCGCCGCCGCCGCTGGCCGTGGCGCCCGCGCCGCCGCGGAAGAAGAAGCGGCGCGCCGCCGCGCCCGCGGTCGCCACCTTCGACGACTTCGCGCGCGACGCGCGGCGCCACGTCCTCGCCACGGCGCACATCGACGTCTTCATCCACGCGCCAGCGGCCGCCGACGACGAGGGCGAGTTGTAATGGACGACAGTTAGCCCCCCCCCCGCGCTCGCTCAGTCGCTCCAGTCGCTGTCGTCGCTCGAGTCGGAGTCGGACGAGTCCGCGGCGATCTTCGAGCGGAGCGTGAGGATCTTGTCGACCTCGCCGCCGAGGAGGCCGCCCATGCCCGGCGTCGGCGAGTCGCGGGCTGGCTGCTCGCGCGCCGCCGCGGACTTGAGGTTGCGGCCGCGCTTGATCGCGGAGAGCAGGTCGTTGCGCTCCTCGGCGGACTCCTCGGAGCGCAGCGACGTCGCCGAGTCGACGGTCCGCAGCGCCGTGCCCTGCTGGATCTGGCCGAGGAGGCCGCCGAGCGCGGGCCGCGGCGCCGCGGGCGCCGCCGCGGGCGGCGGCGCGGGCGGCGGCGCCGCGGCCTCGGCCCGCGGCGGCGGCGGCGCGGGCTTCGGCGGCGGCGCGGCCGGCGCGTCGTCGCCGCCGTCGAGCACGGACGGGTCGAGGCCCTCGTTGGCCATCTTCATGGCGACGGCGGCCTTGGGGATGCCCATCTGGAGCATCTTGAAGTATTTCGCGTGCTCCGGCGCGACCGCGGGCGCCGGCGCCGGCGCCGGCGCCGGCGCCGCGGGCTTCGGCGGCGGCGGCTTGGGCTTCGACGGCGGCGGCGCGGGCTTGGACGGCGGCGCGGGCTTGGGCTTGGGCGCGTCCGGCGGCGGCGCGGCCGCCGGCTCCGGCGGCGGCGGCGCGGCCTTCTTCTTGGATCCGAAGAGCTTCCCGAGGAGGCCCTTGCGCGCGGGCTTCGCCGGTGCCGCCGGCGGCGCGACGATGACGGCGACGGGCGCCGCCGCGGGCTCGGGCCGCGGCGGCGGCGGCGCGGGCCTCTGCGGCGGCGGCGCCGGCTTTTCGCCGCCGCGGGCCCCGTCGTCGGCCTCGTCGTCCGACTCGTCGAGGACGCTCGCGCATTTTTTGGTGCACGGCGGAGGGGCACACCCGCGCGGACCATGCGGCGGTACTTGGCGTACCTCTCGACCTCGGACATCGGCGCGGCCGACGCCCGCTTCTCCGGCGTGATCTCCGAGTCCCCGCGGCGCATGGGCGGCGGCGCCGGGCGCCGCGGCGACGGCGCCTCGTCGTCCGCCTCCGGCGGGGACGCCGCGGCCGCGGGGAAGGGCGGCGGCGGCGGCCGGCGCGGCGACGCCGCCCCGTCGCCGAGCGGGAACGGCGGCGGCGGCGGCCGGACCCGCGCGCGCGCCTCGGCCTCGCGGTCCTTGGCGAGCTGTTCCTCGCGCGCGAGGCGCTTCGCCTCGAGCTCCGCCTCCTGCTGCTCGTACAGGTCGAGCATGCTAGGCTCCTTGGGGGCGGAGGGCATGGGCGGCGGCGGGCGGCGCGACGCCGCGGGCACGGGCGGCGGCGACGCCGCGGGCATGGGCGGCGGCGCCCGCGACGCCGCGGGCATGGGCGGCGGCGCGGCCGCGGGCATGGGCGGCGGCGGCGCCGCGGGCAGCGCCGCGGGCATGGGCGGCGGCGGCCGCGCGGCCGCGGGCATCGGCGGCGGCGCGGGCTGCGAGGGCGCCGGCGCGTCGTCGCCGCCGTCGAGCACGGACGGGTCGAGGCCCTCGTTGGCCATCTTCATGGCGACGGCGGCCTTGGGGATGCCCATCTGGAGCATCTTGACGTATTTCGCGTGGTCGCCGGCCGTCGCCGGCGGCGGCGGCTTCGCCCGGGGCGGCGGCGGCTTCGGCTTCGGCTTGCCGGGCATGGGCGGCGGCGGCTTCGCCCCCGGCATGGGCGGCGGCGGCTTCGCCCCCGGCATGGGCGGCGGCGGCTTCGCCCCCGGCATGGGCGGCGGCGGCTTCTTCTTCTTCTTCGTCGGCGGGATCTCCGGCGTCTCGGCGAGGAGCAAGCGCGACGCCGGCGGCGCGGGGTCGTCGTCGACCATGTCGTCGCCGAGGAGGCCGTAGCGCGACTTCCAGTTCAGGCCCTTGCTCGCGAGCTTCGTCCGCTCCTTGCCGGCCTCGAGCTCCGCCTGGCGCTTCGCGGCGCGCTTCGCGAGCTTCTTCCGCTGCTTCCGCTCCGCCTTGCGCGCGTCCTTCTCCTCCTTGAGAGCCGTCAGCGTCGCGAGCTCCTTCGCGGCCCACTGGGCGAGGAAGATGCCCGGGTTGCTGTACTTGTCGCAGCACTTGTGGCCCTCGCCGAAGAGCGCGTCGAGCCTCGAGAAGTCGGGCAGCCGCTCCACGTCCGGGTCGTCGTAGCGCTCGCGCATCGTCCGCGGCAGCGTCGCCTTGGCGAACGCGACCGTCGAGTGCTTCGTCGTGCGCCGCGCGGACTTCGTGAAGGCCTTGGCCGCGTCGCTCTCGAGGTTGTCGAGGTCGTCGTCGCCGAGCATCGCGACCTTGGCCTCGAGGTACGGCAGCGTCCGCGACAGCGCGTCCGCGCGATCCGCGGCGGCGGCGACGCGCGTCTGGAGCGCGCGCGTCTCGGTGAAGAGGTCCCCGAAGAGCTCCGCGGCGTAGACGCTCACCAGGCCGATCTGGCAGAGCGCGCCCGTGTGGCGGGCGAAGGTCACGTCCTGGAGGACCCGTTGCGGGGGGGACGACGCGTAGAGGTCCGGGTGGCCGTAGTCGAGGGGGTCGCCGGAAATGTGGCGGTGCGCCGGGCGGGCGGGCATGTTTCAAGCGGTCGCGGGCGCCGCCCAGCGACGGCTGCACGCCGTTCTCACCACAGCGAGCGAGCAGATAGCGAGCCTCGGCCAGACAAGGCGTCCGCCTTCCAGGCGTCCTTCCGTTCCCGCACCGGTATATCGATCGGCGCGCCTCAGCGCCCCCATGCGGCGGCCTCCCCGAGAAGCATTAGCGACCCGCGCCGCACACCCGCCAAGGCCGCTCAATCGTCCCAGTCGGAGTCGTCGCTCGAGTCGGAGCCCGAGTCCGCGGCGATGCGCGCGCGGAGGCCGAGGATCTTGTCGACCTCGTTGCCGAAGAGGCCCGCCTTCTTCGGCGGCTCGGGCTTCGTGTCGCTGACCTCGACCTTGCGCAGGTTGCCGCCGCGCTTGATGGCCGCGAGGAGCGGGTTCTCCGGCGCGGCCTTCTTCGGCGGCGGCGGCGCGGCCTTTTTCAGCGTCGCGCCCTGCTGGATGGCCCCCAGCAGCCCGCCCATGGCGGGCCGCGGCGGCGCGGCGACCGTGGGCGGCGGCGGCGCGGGCTTGGCCTTGGGCGGCGGCGGCGGCGGCTTGGACCCCGGCGGCGGCGGCGGCTTGGGCTTCGACGGCGCGGCGGGCTCGTCGTCGTCGGAGTCGTCGAGCACGGCGGCGTCGAGGCCCTCGGAGGCCATCTTCATCTGGACCGCGGCCTTGGGGATGCCCATCTGGAGCATCTTGAAGTACTTGGCGTAGGCCGCGCTCTCCTTGAGCGACTCGGAAGCGCCGCCGTCCGATTCCCGCGCGGCGGAGCTCTTGCGGCTCAGCCGCTCCTCCGCCTCGTCGTCCTCGTCGAAGGAGGCCGGGGCCATCTTGGGCATGGGCGGCGGCGGCGGCTTGGGCTTGCCGCCCTTGGGCGGCGGCGGCGGCGGCTTCTGCTTCGCGGACCCGGGCGGCGGCGGCGGCTTCGCGGGCTTGGCCGCCCCGCCGTCGGGCTGCGGCGGCGTCGCGAGCTTGGGCATGGGCGGCGGCGGCTTGGGCTTGCCGCCCTTGGGCGGCGGCGGCGGCGGCTTGGGCTTGGCCGCGGGCGGCGGCGCCTCGGCGGCGCCGAAGCCCGGCGCGTCGCTCAGGCGCTGGGACGTCGGGCGCGCGACGGCGTCGGCGTCGGGCTTGATGTCCACGGCGGGCGCGGCCTCGTCGCCGTCGACGCCGTAGCGGTTCTTCCAGTCGAGGCCGCCGCCGTCGACGTCCTCGCGCTTCGCCTTGGTCGCGTGCGCGGAGTCGGACCGTCCCTGGAGGCGCCGCCGCCGCTTCCGCTCCTCCTTGGCGGCCTTCTTCTTCTCCTTGATGGACTCGATGCGCTTCATCTCCTCCGCGGCCCACTGGTCGAGGAAGAAGCCCGGGTGGCTGTATTTCTGCGCGCAGGGGCCCTCGCGCTCGAGAACGTCGGGCGGCAGGGCCGCGTCGACCTTCGAGAGGTCGGGCGTCGGCACCATGAACTCGGACTCGTAGCGCTCCTTGATGGACCGGGGCATCGTCGACCGGTTGAAGGCGACGCGCGTCGGCTCGTCGGACGCGAAGTCGGGCGGCCGCGCCGCGCGCCCGCCGGAGTTGCCGTCCGTCGCCTCGACCTTCGCTAGAACCGCGGGCAGCTGGTCCACGAGCCCCGCCGTCCGCGCCGTCGCGCTCTCGAGGCGGCCGTGGAGCTCCTCCGTCAACGTGAACACGTCCCGGAAGATCTCCGTGGCGTAGTGGGACAGCAGCCCGATCTGGGCCAGGGTGCCCGTCATCGACGCCATGGTCGCGTCCGCCAACATGGTCCCCGGGGCGCTCTTCTCGTAGAGGTGCGGGTGGCCATACTCGAGGCTCCCGCCGATCTGCCGGCGGACGAGCATGGTCGAGGGGGAGGGACGCCTGCGAAGGCAATGGCGCGGTGGATGGGCTGGGTCGGTGGTGCACGCTTCATTGCACTTACCACAAACATTGAGATTCGTGTCAAAATCGCTCAACCGAGGACACGCGGCGCATCGGTCGCAACGTCGTCGGCGGCGACGGCGTGAATTCGGCCTCGTACCGCCTTCGCGGAGCCGCAGCACTCGCGCGCGAGCTGCCCGCGGCGCGCGGACGCGGAAACTCGCCATGGATCTCGACATGGAGCCCATGCTGGACTTTGATTTCGGCGGCGCCACGGAAGAGTCGAGCGAGGAGCTGCTCGTGGAGCTCTTCGACGTCTTCGAGGGCTGCCCCCCCGCGGCGCGGCCCGCCGCCGCCGACGCGGCGCTCGACGCCGTCGCGCCGCGGGCGGCCGCGCCCGCGGCGCCGCCGCCGGAGTCGGCGCCGTCATCGAGCGGCGCCGCGTCGCCGCGCGACGACGGGAGCGAGTCGGCGTCGAACGCGCCGGACCACAGCCGCGACATGACGGCGTTCCTGCGGCCCAGCAGCGCCTACGACCGCTACCGCGACGCGAACCGCGACGCCGTCGCGCGCGAAAACCCGTCGCTGACGCGGCTCCAGCTCAACGAGCAGCTGCGGCTCAACTGGCAGGCCATGGGCGACGGCGACCGGCGCCAGTACGTCACGGCCGCCCGCGGCGAGCGCGAGGCGTTCGCCAAGCGCCAGCACCTCGCCAAGTTCGGCGACGAGAGCCCCTGGGAGGCGGAGCGGCCGCGGCGGCCCCTCACGGTCTACGATTTGTGGTCCCGCGACACGAAGCCCCGCGAGCGCATCCCGCCGGGCACGAAGGAGGCCGTCGTGCGCAAGCGCATCACGGCCATGTACCAGGCGCTCGACGACGCCACCCGCAAGCCCTACGAGGACGAGTACGCCACCACGAGCGCTTTATTCTTCGAGGAAGAAAAGGCCTGGGCGGCCAAGTGGGACCTCGTCAAGGTCTACAAGGGCTACGTGCCCCGCAACGACCCGGCGGCCATCGCCCAGGCCGCGCGCCTCGACAAGGAGGCCAAGCACCGCAAGCCCGCGAACGAGAGTCAAGAGCTCGCGGAGCTCGAGAAGCGCGACAAGGGCGCCAAGGCGGGCGCGGCGGCGGCCGACGAGCCCGAGGAGGAGAAGCGGCCGTCGAAGCCCATGTCGTCCTACAACACGTGGCGCCGCCTCAACGTCGAGGCCTTCCGCGCCAAGTTCCCCGAGCTGCCGCACACGAAATTGGAGCGGAAGATCCTCGCGGCCTTTAAAGCGCTGCCCGACGACGTGCGCCAGCCCCTCGAGGACGCCTACCGCGCCAAGGCCGACGCCTGGAAGGTCGCCGTCGCCGACTGGGACGCGCGCCACGCCGAGGAGGTGTCGAAGCAGAAGCGCGAGCGGACGCGGCCGGCGGCCGGCGACGACGGCGACGCGGGCTCCAACTCCTCCGACGACGACGCCGCGCCGCCCCCGCCGACGGCCTACCCCAAGGCGCCGGACATGTGGGCGCGGGACCTGAAGGACGAGTACCGCGCGCGCCACCCGGACATGACGCCGCCGGAATTGATCCGGGCGATGAAGGCCGTGTGGTCCGCGCTGCCCGAGGACGACGCCGTGAAGAAGGAGTACCGCGACAAGTCGGCGCGCCTCAAGCTCCAGTACGCGAAGCGCTTCGAGGCCTGGAACCTGAAGCGCTTCAGCGGCCCGAAGAAGAAGCGGCGGACGGCGGGGCCGCGGTCTTACGATCCCGACGCGATCGCGGACTGGCGCCTGGGCGCGCTCGGCGCCGACTCCAATCTGTCCAAGGCGGCCCACTTCTCCGCGGACCAGCGGCGCCTCCTCGAGGACCGCAAGTCCCTCGCGGACGTCGCGCCCGACGACGACGACGCCTTGGTGTTGAACGGCAAGACGCACGAGGCGCTCGCGCGCCAGTTCGCGCTGGACCTGTGGCACCAGGACCTCCAGGCCCACGCGCGGGGCGAGACCGGCCCGTCCCAGGAGATCCTCAAGCACTACTACACGAAGATCTCCAACTGGCTCAAGCGCCGCAAGGGGCCCGCGGCGGCGGAGTGACCGCCGCGGGTTGCTCGACCCCGGCGCCCGCGCACCTCGCACCACCGCCCCACCTCCGCCGCCGCGCCAGCCGCCGCGGCGGCCCTCGTCCGCCCGGGTAACCCTCCGTCGAGAGCCGAGTGCAACCACGTTGAAGAGATGGTGAAGAGACGTTGACGCTTGTGGCAGAGTCGATGTGCCCAGCCTGACGCGCCGCTGCTAAGTAATGAAAGCAACCATGCTGCTGCTCGCGGCCCGCGCCGCGAGCCTCGCGCGGCCGGCGCGCGTGCTCGGCCGGCGCGTCGCACTGCGCAGCGGCGACGGCGAGGCGGCGTGGCCCGAGGCGACGCTCGCGAAGATCGCCGCCGGCGCCGGCACGCCCGCGGCCCTCGCGGCGCTGAAGGCGGAGCTCGCCGTCGCCGGCGACGCGCCCGACGCGGCCTACGGCGCCTGCTTCCCCTTCCCGCTCGACGCCTTCCAGCGCGACGCGCTCCGGAGTTTGCGCGCGGACCGCAACGTCATCGTGAGCGCGCCGACGGGCAGCGGCAAGACCGTCGCGGGCGAGCTCGCCATCGCCTACGCGCTGAGCGTCGGCAAGCGCGTCTTCTACACGACGCCCCTCAAGGCGCTCAGCAACCAGAAGTTCGGCGACTTTTGCGCGCAGTTCGGCGCGGGCCGCGTCGGCCTCAGCACGGGCGACTCGGGCGTGCGCCGCGACGCGGCCGTCGTCGTCATGACCACAGAGGTCTTCCGGAACATGATCTACGACGACGAGGGCCGCGCGGAGATCGCCAAAGACGTCTTCGCCGTCGTCTTCGACGAGTTCCACTACATGAACGACGCGCAGCGCGGCACGGTCTGGGAGGAGTCCGTCGTCGGCTGCCCGGCGACCGCGCGCATCGTCGCGCTGAGCGCGACCGTGTCCAACGCGCGCAGCGTCGCCGGCTGGATGGCGTCGATCCACGGGCCCACGGACGTCGTCGAGACGGACTTCCGCCCCGTGCCGCTGCGCTACGAGTTCGCGGGCGGCGGTGAGGTCGTGCCGCTCTTCCGGAGCGCGGACGTGGGCCCGGGGTCGGAGACGGAGGCGCGGGAGCGCACGCGGCTCGCGTCCAAGAGCTCGGGCGGCACGCGCGCGCGCGCGCGGAAGCGGCTCCAGCTCAACCCCGCGCTCGACAAGCCGCGGGAAAAACCGAAGCGCGTCGGCCGCGACAAATTCGACCGCCGAGGGGGGAAGTTCGACGAGGGCGCCATGCCCAGCCGCGAGATCCTGAAGAATCTTCAAAAGCGCGACCGCCTGCCGGCGATCTTCTTCGTCTTCAGCCGCAAGGGCTGCGAGAACGAGGCGGCGAACTGCGGGTCGCTGCAACTCTTAAACGTCGACGAGGAGACGCTCGCGCGGAAGCGGATCCGCGCCTGGGCCCTGGAGAACGAGGACGTCGCGCGCCTCGACAGCGAGCGGGAGCGCGTCGACCTCCTCACGCGAGGCGTCGCGGCGCACCACGCGGGGCTGCTGCCGCAGTACAAGACTCTGGTAGAGGAGCTCTTCCGCGACGGTTTGGTCAAGGCCTGCTTCGCGACGGAGACGCTCGCCGCGGGCGTCAACCTGCCGGCGCGGACGACGGTCGTGACGTCCTTGGTCAAGCGCGGCGACGACGGCATGGAGCCCCTGACGACGTCCGCGCTCCTGCAGATGGCCGGCCGCGCGGGCCGCCGCGGCAAGGACGCCGCGGGCACGGTCGTCGTCGCGCGGGGCCGCAAGTTCGGCGACCGCGACGCGGGCCTCGCGCGGCGCGTGCTCCTGAGCGACGTGCTGCCCATCGCGTCCAAGTTCGCGCCGTCCTACGGCGTCGCGTGCGCGCTGCTCCGCGGCGGCGACCTCGAGCGCTGCCGGGCTGTCGTCGAACGGAGCTTCGGGAGCTATTTGGCGAACCGCGGGCCCCGAAAAAGTCGGACGGCGCCGGAGGAGCCGCTCTGCGGGGGGTTGGCCGAACACGTCCTGCGCGACTACACCGTGCTATTATCGGCCGCGGGCGACGCCTGCGACGCCTTCGAGGCCGCGCAGGGACTCGACGACGACCGCGAAATCGAGGACGCGCGGCGCGCGCTCCGGGCCGCGCAGGGCGCCGTGCTCGCGTCGCCCGTGAGCCGGCTCGCGCCGGACAAACAACTAGAAGCGCTCGAGGCCTACGGCGCGCTCAAGGCGGCGAACGAGGCGCCGCGGCCGCCGGCGGAGCCCCCGGCGCCCGACGCGCCGCGGCCGCCGTCGGCGGCGTGGCGGCGCTTCGAGACGCTCGTCGCCGTCCTCGAGCGCTGCGGCGCCGTCGAGGACGGCGCGCCGACGGCGCTCGGCGACCTCGTCGCGAGCGTCAACGGCGACAACGAATTATTGCTGGCGACGTGTCTCCTGGACGACGCCACGCTCGACGTCGCGACGACCGGCGGCCCGGCGGAGGTCGCGGCGCTCTTCTCGGCCTTTGTGTGCGAGATCGGCGACCGGCGGGGCGTCTTCGTCGACTACGGCCCGAGCGCGAAGGTCCGCGACGCGACGGACGCGCTCTTCGAGCGCGCGGTGCTGCCCCTGAGCGACCTCCAGTTCGAGGCCGGCCTCGGCGACGTGGGTTGCCGCCTCGACGACGCGGCCGCCGGGCTCGTGGAGTCGTGGGCCGACGGCGCGGCGTGGGCGCAGGTCAAGGACGCGACGAGCCTGGACCACGGCGACCTCATCCGCCTCTTCCGCCGCACGCTCGACGTGCTCAAGACGGCGGCGAACCTGGACCCCGCGCTCGCGCCGCCGTCGTTCGCGGCCGTGCGGTCCGCCGCGCGCGCCGCGGCGACGGCCGTCGACCGGCCGCCGGTCCGCGACGACCAGTTCGACGCCATCTTCGTCCGCGACGACGACGGCGACGGGGAAGACGACCCTAAGGACCCTTAGCAGACGCGCGCCGCGGCGTCGGCCGCGAGGTCGAAGTCGATGACCTTCTTCGGGTTGTGGACGACGCCCGCGTTCTCGCGGCGCGTGTGCTCCACGGTCGACGTGTCCGCCGTGCGCTGCTTCGCGAGCTTGTGCTTGGCGGCGTAGCCGACGAGGTCGTCGTCGTGCAAACTCCGGGCGACGAAGACGTCCACGGGGCAGTCCACGGGCAGGCGCCTGTGTGGAATTCAACCACTGGTTTGGGTGGTCCTGACCAAACTTGAGAATTCTCTAGCTCGGTCAAATCGAAGTCGATTCGGCTGATTTTTGGACGAATCGATTGCTCTCGTCGAGTTCTCGAAGCACAGCCGAAGAGATTGCGTCGAAACTGTCGCATACGCTCACATTGAAGTCGAGTTGAATATTTGAATTCCACACGGGCAGGCGCCGGAGGAGCTTCGCGGCGCCCCCGGGCGACAGCCAGTACGCGTGGAGGCCCCAGAAGTACTTGGGCACGAGGAACGCCTCCAGAGTCTGCAGGGGCACGTCGAGCATGGCCTTCTCCTCGCGGAAGAAGTAGCCGAGGAGCGCCAGATCCGCGTCCATCGGCGTCCGCTCGACCGTCGCCCGCAGCCGCTCGGCGAAGCCGTCGCAGAGGACGACGTCGTCCTCGAGCACGACGAGCGGCGCGCCGCCGTCCCGGCAGCGCCGCCAGAGGGCGACGTGCGACGCCGCGCACGCGCGCTCCGTCGGCGACAGCTCCGCGGGCCGCCCGGCTTTGAGTTTTTCGCGCAGGAGCGACGCCTTCTTCTGGTCGTCGCGGGTCTGGTCGTCGTAGAACTCGTTCAGCAGCGCCGCGTCCTCGCCCCAGTGCGTCGCGACGTCGGCCGCGTCGACGTCCGCCGGCGTCCTGGCGGCGAAGCGCTCGAGCGCGACGCCGTGCACCAATCCGAGCCGGCGCATCGCCGCGCGGCGGTCCGCCGACGCGTCCAGGTTCACGAAGGTCGCGCGCGGCCGCCGCCGCGCGGCGTCGAGGGCGACGAGGAGGCGTCGATCGAGGCGCGTCGCGTCGGGAAGCGTCCGCGCCCACGCGAGCGCCGCGTCGCCGGCGGCGGCCTCGCCGTCGCTCGCGGCCAACACAAAGGCCGCCTTGGCCGCGGCGTGCGCGTCGCCCGGCCATCGCGCGAGGGCCTCCGCGGCCGCCGCGCGCGCCGCGGCGAGCGTCGCGTCGCCCGGGTCGACGCGCGCGAGCGCCCAGGCGGCGGCCGCGTCCGCGTTTTCCACGCGCTTTCGGAGCGCGGCGACGTCGGGCGCCGCGGCGCGCCGGTCGGCCTCGCGCCGGAGCGCGTCCGCGTCGCCGCCGCCGCCGAGCGCGAAGAAGGCGAGGGCCAGCGCGAGCGGCGCCGCGGCGTCCGGGGCGGTCCCCCACCGCGCTCCGCGGCCGCGAGCGCCTGGCGCCGGCTCTTGCTCAAACCGGCGACGTAGCCCTCCCAGGAGAGCGCGGCGGCCGCGAGGGGCGCCGCCAGGTCCGCGTTCGCGAAGCCCACGCGCCCGAGGTCCGCGAGGACCCGCGCGAGCGCCTCCGCGTCGCCGCCGCCGCGACAACGCGCCGCGACCTCGAGGACGACGTCGTCCGCCGCCCACGAGTGGACGCCGTCGCTGAGGTCGTCGGCGTTGTCGCGGCGCTGCTTCATCTTGCGCTCCTCGTCGGTCCGCGGCGCCTGCTTCCGCCCGGCGACCTTCTTCGCCTCCCACCGCTTCTGCCAGAGCTTCGTCCGCGGCGCCAGGAGCCCGAGGTCCGCGGCGGAGACGGCGTCCCGGGCGAGGACGTGCCGCGCGTAGAGGCGCGCGTCCTTGAGCGCGAGGCGGTGGCCCGTGTCCTTGAGCGCGGCGGCCCGGTCGCGGCCGAGCGCGACCCAGACCGCGACCTTGAGCGTCTCCGCGGCCTCGGCCGCGGCGGAGGCCGCGGCGGCCGCGGCGGGGGCCGCGGCGGCGTCGCGCGGCGCGGCGCCGAGGTCGAGCTCGAGCGGCGGCGGCGTCGGGGCGTCGAAGCGCTGCTCGTCGGCCATGGACCGGTCGCCCTCGGCGCCCTCGTCGCGGAGCGCGCGCCGGCGCTCGAGCTCGGAAGCGATGGAGCCGATGCCGCGCGCGGGGTCGACGACGTGTAGCGCCGACGCGGCGCGGCGCCGCGCGGCGGCGTCCGCGGCGGCCTTGTCGAGGCCCGCGCCCGCGCCCGGCGCGTCGTCGTCGTCGGACGAGCCGAGGAGGTCGTCGAGCTCGTCGTCGAGCGCCGCGGCCATCGCGAGCGCCGGAAGCGCCGCCGGCGCCGCCGCCTTCGCGCCGGCGACGGCGAGGCTCCGGGCCCGCTTGCCGCCGCCGTCGCTCGCCGCGGCGGCCCCGCCGGGCGCCGCCCGCTTGCCGCCGCCGTCGCTCGCCGCGGGCGCCGCGCCGCGCTTGGCGCTCGCGGGCTTCGCGCTCGCGGGCTTCGCGGGCGCGCGCTTCCGCTTCGGCTCGCCGGCGCGCTGCAGCCGCTCGACGTCGCGCTCCAGCGCCGCCTTCTCCTGGGCGAGCGCCGCCCGGTCGCGCCGCAGCGTCGCGTTCTCCTTCTCGAGGTCGGCGATGGTCCGCACCGCCGTCGCCTGCTCCTCGAGGAGCGCCGTGTTTTTTTTGAGGAGCTTGTCGATCTTCTTGGCCGCCTTGTCGACCAGCGCCTGGATGTGCGGCGGGAGATCACCGCCGCTCATCGTGCACGCTGCTCGAGGGCTCAGACAG